TTGAAGCTAATACAAATGAGGCAGCTGTGACTGCATTGTGTTGTATTCACATGGAAGGCCAACTCAGAGCACTGTGTTATGGAAATGAGAACACTAAGCTGAGCAGCACCTGGCCTGGAACATAAGCAGCTCCCTCTTTGCCAATGCTAAATTGATGGCATCAGCTAAGTTGAAGTGATACAAAAATCATAAATACTGAGTTACTTTATAGAGTACAAAATAAGAAGCCTGTTCTAAAAACCAGACACTGTGAGGTAAATATACAGAATTATAAGACACGATTACTTTCCCTTTATGAATTAAATGTTAAATATCTAAAATAAGTTATTTGTTTACTGAATTGTTCCTTACCATCCCTTTAATATCATTTAAATATAGTCATTTTAGGATGCATAAAATATGCAAAGGATGTTTTTTTAGAGGAAGACACAAATATACAGAAAAAGCCTAGCAAGATGTTAAAGAAAAAACAAAAACAAAAACAGGATCTTTTAAAAGAGGCAAAAACTATTCAAATGACTAAAACTATTTCTGAAGGCTCTAAGTCAAAACTCACAACTGCAAAAACATTGTGAGCTTACACTTATAATATAGAAAGGGCTCAAAGAAATATCGCTAGGAATAAATCATTAAATAAAGAATTCTGCCTAGTTTCATTTTCCAATAGAAGTAGACACAGTATATACTACATAAATAAAATACCATAGTACTGAATCCCAAATGTTAATTTAAATCTCTCTTTGTTGAGGAAAAAAATCTAATCATTCTGCACAGGTACACTCATTCCAAACAATCTCTTATTAAATGTTATCAAATATTTATTATTATATTTGACTACAGACATTATCAGAAATACCAAGAGAATAAGTGTGCAATAAACTCATTCTATTTGGGTCCCTCCATAATTCATGCATATTTTATCCACTTAACAATTACTTGTTGAATGTTCAGTATGTATGAGGTGCTGTATTACTCAATTGGGATGGTTACAAAGATGATTAGAACAGATATTCATTGTTTAATGAGGGCAGACACCTATAAATAAACAATCTGCAGTAGGAATGAAGGAATGTGTGAAGAAATACGGAGAGTGGAAGAACAGAAAAACTACCCTGCAGATTACTGTTTTTTTTTTTAATGGTTATTAGTAGATAAAAGTAAAAACACATTTAAATATTCCTAAAAGAAACAAGACTTTGTCTTAACCTACAGGCTCAGTAGTCATATTAATTCCCTCTTCTCTCATTTCTTATGTTCTTATACATTAATATGCTGCTTTATTAGTTACCTATTTTAAGTTTTTAAAAGTATAACTTTTGTGAGTGAGGAAGACAAAGATTTTGGGCTTCCCTGCTATAGTCATTCTTCTTTATCTGACATCAAGCAGCAGGATATGAGCAATTTCTAGTTTTTCTAGGATCTCCTTAAAGCTAATCACTACTGTAGAAATATCAATAGTATCAGGTTGAGGAGTGTGTGTGTATGGGTGGAGGGAGTGGTGTGTTTGTGCTCTGGGCTGGCCTTTTTAAACTTATTTTTTGAAGCTGGGATTGAACCTAGGTACTTGTACCTGCTAAGAATACCAGCTGCTGGCCCTCTATTGAATGAGAGACTTTTACCTATCACTTGAGTTGAGATAATGATAACAAGAGGAAAATGGAATCACTTAAGGGAAGAGTCATGTAATTTAACCAATACTTCATACTACTTATACAACTTGGTTTAGAGCTTTTGAGCGAAAGACAAATATTTCAATAAATACATCTTTCATGTTTTGGCAGCTAGCATTTGTTTAGCTGCCAAACAAATGCCATTCAGTCTTCCCCAAACTTATCTTTCTAGTCTCCTTGCCTGCCATTTTTGCTCACATACTTTTCAAGTCCTACCTTACTGAATGAATCCTTTCTATATTCCCTGGAAGCATTAATTATCTAATGTGTATCTTTACAAAATGCTATTCCCTCAGCCTATAGTAGTATACTTCCTCTGTCAGTTATTTTCTTTCAGATTTTGAAAGAAAATACTGTTCCTTGGGAAAGCTTTGGCTTACACATTGTGCTACTAACAACTTTTGTTACCATGCTCCGCTACTTCTTTATGAAACTGGTCATTTTTCTATTCTTGTTACTTGACTACAGTTTCCCTGGGAGTGGAAAATTCTGTTTGCATTCTGTTTCCCAGTACCAAGCATAATACTCCAGGAAGGTATCAATAATTGGTGAATCACCAATACTATGCTCAAAGTAAGCTCTCAATAAGTATATGAATAATTTCAGTCAGAATTTAGTAAAATCTATTTTATCTACTCTCAGTGAGTGTGAAAATGAAGTTGGAAAGAGTAAGGCCCTTTTAGAGAGTATAGTGTCAGTTCTTTTGGGAGGACACTTGATAAGCAATGAACCTACTGCTCACCATTGTAACAACATCAGAATCTAAGAACCAGAAGTACTTGGGCTAAAATATCACTTGTGCCGCTTTGTAAAGTTAAGATGGAAGTGACTGGCTTCACAATACAATACAAATAACTTGAAGTTAAATAGTTCAAAGTGTGGCTCGTTTTTGCTTTCCCATATTCAGAATCCATTATGGTATTAATTACAAAAATATTTTGTGCTCACCTGAAATGAGACATACTTCTAATCAGAAATCTATTTAATTTATGTAAGTCACATTAATTGGTGGTATTACATTAAAATTTTAAAAATAAGAAAATGTCCTCCTCTAGACTTTCAAGTACTGTAGTGTCTCAGTTTCAAAATATGTGTATTTTGGTTTACCTTAAAAATATAATACCACATATCTTCAAGATTTCAAATATTCCCAATGGATACATATAATCACATAATATACAGAGTTACACCTTGAAAAAAGTAGCACAACAAATATAACTTCACTTTTTCTTAATGATTCAGGCCCATTATTATCAAATGTCAATTTCTATATCAAGCACCATACTGAAATATAATGATAGCCATAAGGGCTATTAATAAATGCAAGGCTGTTTGCCTTTATCCTTAATGAATTCAGATTGTTCTTAATGATTTTCTTTCATTTTCTGTTTCCTCCCTCCACTGACATTTTTTTTTCCTGATCATCAGTGTGTTCTGATGATTATTTTTTGGAAAGCTGTCTACTGAGGGCCTGTGAATGGTTAAATCCTCCTAGAGAGCTAAGTGCATGGGTTTTTCTGGCTGTAATTTGCTAGTCAAGGGCCCTTTCCTTCCCTCATTATTTCTATGACTACTAAGTGAGTACATGGTTTTTAAGTAGCACTAGCTTTTATGTATATCCACATCATTGCTTTTTTAACTTTTATTGAAGAATGATTAGTTTTATTAAGATAAATCTTAAGTTAGTTGCCAATTTATTACTCAGATAAATAAAAATTATACTTTTGAATTCAAACTTAGATAGACTAACCATAAAGTTCAGACTTTATATAGGAGGCACTTTAAGGTTATGATATTGCAGAAAGATTTTTCACTTATGAACTTTTTTAAAAAAATCAAGACTTCTTCATTTGAGTACAACATGAAAACTCTAATTTTAAAGTCAATCTTAATTCTGACAAGTATATCACTAAACTCTGTATATGTTTCACTATGTTGGTATCTTGCTTTATCAGGAAAAGAAGAGGAGGAAGGGAAAGAAAAAAATGCCTTTTCATTCTTAAAAAAATAGGTAGCTATGTCTATGGAACAAAAAAACAATAGTAAGAGCACTAAATCTGATGCTTTTAAATTCTTGTCATAATTTTTTCTTTTTTTTTGCGGTATTGAAGGTTAACTCATGCTTCCCAGGCAGGCGCTCTACCACTTGAGCCATGCCCCAGTTCCTGTCATAATTTCCTTAGACTACCAATCCAACACTCATTTGTGATTTTTAAACATGAGAACATCTGTAAAAGTTTGAATGATATCACAAAAACAGATACCGGCAAATTCTTTACACTCTTAAGGCAAAAAAAAAAAAAAAAAAAAAAGGAAATTCTGTTCCTCAGTTGATACAAAATAAAACACCTATTTTGGTTAACTTACTTTTACACTTCAAAAAAAAAAAGTTCTACTGAGAAGGTCACTCCAGGGCTGAGCTTAATAGCATGCATGTATCTGTAACTTTGCTACCTGGGAGGTGGAGACAGGGCAATTGCCATTTGAGGCTAGTCCTGGTAAAAAGTTAGCAAGACCCTATCTCAACAATCCCAGCTATGAGGGAAATAGAGGTAGGGTGATCACTATCCAAGGCTGACTCAGGCAAAATCGTAAGACCCTATCTGAAACTAAAAGCAAAAGGGCTGGAGGCGTGGCTCAAGTGGTAAAGTGCCTGCCTGCCAAGCATGAGGCCTTGAGTTCAAACCCAAGTACTCTCAAAAGAAAAAAATCTATGTTACTTAAGAGTTGTATCAAAAAGGTCCAAATCAGGCCTGTACCTCGTGGTTAACTGACCATCTATAGCCATTTTATTTTAGCATTCTTTTTGTCAAACTTTTGTATTTGTTATCGATTCTCAGTATTGCCTGGTCAATTTAAGTTACTTTCTTTCAGGGTATACCTTAAGCATCGACATGGTTATCTAAAAGATAGCTTAAACAAAACACAGGTTAGGTCTTCAATTAGAATTTATAATTTAACAACAACAAAGAATTCACACCAGTATCTTCATAGAACTGTGCGAGGTTTTAGCTAACAACTTTGATAAAATAACATCTGCAAAGATTTGCACTGTGTAGCTTAGAGGACTCCAAATTTATTGTACTTATTTTCAGAAATATCCCATAAGCAAAAATAATATTCTGTAAAATCCAATAAACCTTAATACTGAAAGTAAAAGACATTAACCACAGTTAATCTACACAAGTTGGTAACTGTCCTTTAACCTCAGTATTGTAAAGAAACTCATTACAAAAAAGAGGAACAAAATGTTTAGAACCCTTGGTAGCTATTTCTAATTCTAAGAAAGGAGAAAAGTACAATATTCTTTTAGAGAAAAGAAACACTTACTGGTACTTTGAAGGGTGAGGTATTTGCAGTGTCCATGGAGTTGGGTTTCTCTGATGTACTGGTCCCTGAGATACTCCGTCTGCGGGGGGACCTTTCTGCTGGCACTTCTGGAAAAGAGAAGGAAAGTTGAAATATTAAGAACCCCAAAATTAAGGTCTTTCACTACATTATGAAATGAGTTTACTTTAAAGATGCATTATATTTTTATTGCCACATAATTTGTCTCTTTATCTTTGTGGTATTTGAATTATAAAGTCATTAGAAAGACGTGATCTGAGTTAAGATCTGCTTTCGGGTAACAAATTATATCTTTACCTGTACACGTATAAAAATAATTCCCTCTACTATCTTTAAGTTCATTCAATATTTGCATCATGTACCACATGAATCTACCTCTCTACAGCAAGGTAGGTGTTAACAGAGTCAAAAGAAATTTCTAATATCCTTCTGAGCAAAATACAGTCTAGCGTTGCATATGATTTGATGGTATTGGCCCAAAGGTCAAAGTTCGGATCTGTGCAGGTAAGAGGATTCACCAGACTGCAACAAAAGGGCTATAAGAAGACTGAAAGCTGCTGCCAGGATAAAATAATATATATGCCTATGCAGGTATAAAATTAGATCAGCGTCTCCTTGTTCTGGCAATATGACCTTACTAAGATCTTGCTCTGGAATCATAAATCTGTTCAAACTGACCTAACAAGTTTAGGATTCTGCAGATGATGTGATATCCAATTTAAAAACTGTACTCAGGCTACATTTTAAGATTTTTCATGTATACACACAGATATATATACACATACACATGCACACACAGCTAACAGATATATACATATTAATACCTTTATCACAACTGCTTCCCATCTCCACTTCAACTGACAGACACATAGGAATCCAGCTTCTCAGATAACATTAGATAATCTCAACACGGACAAGGAAAAAAAAAACAAAACCAAACCACAACCTAAAAAAGTATTCTGTGTTATCTTCCAGATCTTAAAAAATAAGGAGCAAATCGTGACTCCGGAGACTGACATTTTGATTCCAGCTGTTCTCCCTTTAAAAGATAGATGCAGTTTAAACTTCCATTTCTGTTCTCTTGGCCCCTGGGATCCGTGCTACTTCCACTTAAGAGAAAGCGTTTTTTTTTTCCCCTTGCTCTACCCCCTCCCTCTCTACAGCTTGCAGAGAGAGAGCAAGCGAGAAAGAAACACAGGACTGCAGCTATTCACTCAATCAATCGTCTGACTGCACATCCTCATTAGTTACTTTTAGGGTATTAGCAGGCGTCCAACCACTGCCTCCCCCAAGTTGCATAAAATTTCACTATATTACACTAATCTGCAGCAAGGAAAAAAAATTTGCTGAAATTTATACCCAGCCAGTGCTAAAAGGACAGACACCATTTTACACAGAACCAGTAATGCACACAAATCAATGCCTCCTAAGAAAACCCAACTGGAAGTGCTTACCCTACTACTATTTGCATGCTGGACACTGATCTTCTTTTCCATGACTAAATGTATCTTCTCAGTGGCATCTTGAGCAGTAAGATATAAGCCAAATTGCAACATTCCTAATGACTGAGAAGTTCACAACACTGTGTCTTATACGCCTGCAGTACAGGACAGTTCCATGCTATTATTGTATTTTAAAATTATGACCAATAACTGTAAGTCTCTCAACTTCTCCTTAACCATCAGCAAGTAAATGAACCTTAATGTACAAAGCCATTTCAGAATTAGGCACACATGACTTCTAATGCACATCTCTGAAAAACGGCAGTATAATTAGCTCAGATTCATGGAAATGGCATGAAGGAATTTAAGCAAATCAGCTTGTTGGTACACACTGAATGGAAAGAACTTCAGACTTCAAGAATATGATTTTACATACTGATTATCCAAGTAAGGTGATTCTATAATGGGAGGGGAGAGGGGAGACCAGTGGGGAGAGTTGCTGGTGAAGGTAGAAGAAAATGTCATCTTTTCTCTGATAATTATCTATAAAGGTTCTGTAAATTCTTATATCAATTTAAGATACAGGAGACTGAATATTACAATTTAGCATATTTTAATCACTGAATAATTGACAGTGGAACTAAACTCAGATAAAAATAAGTTTCATTAGCTAGGATAAAATGATCTAGTAAACAGTTTCCTTAATATGCAATGTTCTGGCTAAGGAAAAAAACTGAAACTCATTTCCTTACTTTCTTCCAAACATCTAATTTTAGTTTTAAGGCATATAGTTCATTAAGTAAGTATTTCAATGCTTTAACTATCTGAAATTATACTGGCTGAAATAAGCACCTGTAATTCAAACTCCAATAAATATGGCTATTTGTACTTTTTTACTAGGTCCAGAAAGAAGAAAACTATCCAGGATCAGTATTTTTCAGAAGATTCTTGCTGTAAAAACCAATGTCCATTGAAGAAACAAGGTAGCGCCCTTAGCAAAAGTAGAATGTAACAACCTGCTGGATTAGTCACAGGCAGGCCTGCATATTAAACTGGTTGTGCTACTTTTTTTTTTTTTTTTTGGAGACAGGAGTCTTGCTTCAAACTTGCACTTCTCCTGCCTTAGCCTTCAGAGTGCTGAGATTACAGACACTCATCACCATACCCTGCTTGTCCTCTGCTACCTTTAACTTAAATTTCTCAGCAGAAAAGAAAGTTGCTACTAAGCTCTTAAAGCTGTATTACTGCTGACTTGAAAGGAAAATTTATACTAGTTCCAGCAGGCCAAAATTAGATAACTGTCTTCCCTACCACAACTTGTGCTACACGCTTTTACCTGCTGTAAAATTAGTGCGCCTTTCCTAGTCACAATGTTAAATTATAATCATATTAAAATATACTCACTTTCTAAGGTAAGACAAGAAACATACATTGTTTTAGTAGATAAAGTTCTTAAACTGTTTCATTAACTTCCTTTTTCTTTAAGAATTATATTTTCCATCTTTATATTGAAAAGCAAAAAAGATATGGTTAGATATATTTTTAAACCTGGTCACATTTAAAATTTTTTCTCTTCATTTTCTTTGCCATTGGGTATGAACTGAGATGAGGTAATAACTTACAATGATGAGAGCTAATCTCCAACACAGCTCCACATGGGGTGACTGAACAAAGAAAACATTTGGGTGCTTTTTTCTTAGCCCTTCTACCAACTACCTATGGGATTCTGTTAAAGCTCTATCACATTTCTTGTTCTAGTCTTCAGTATTTAATAAACTGGGTGATTCAGACCAATCAGAGATAAAGACAAGATTAATGAGTTTATATGACTTGATGAAAAAAGGGACTCTCTAACTTCAAAGTGTAGTAGTATTATAACAAATGTCATTTCCTTAAGATACATATTTTCCTCTATGTCATAATGTGCTTTCTTTGAAAAGTGTGGATAATTATAGGAGCAATGGTACTTTTGGTAAGGGATGTGCCTGTTCAATAAAGAGAAGTTAACCTCTGACTTAGAACTTAATAGTGTATCCATGGTCTTTGGTTTCCTGATAAGTGCATGGATATGGGAGCAAATGTCAAAAAAATTCCTGAATCTTTCTCTTATAAGGAAAGGAAATATTTACAATATCTCTAAGGAATAGTTTTTTTGGGTGATAGTGAATTCTAAATGATCATCTTCTTTCTGCATTTGCTAAAGTTTTATAATAAAACTATAGAGTATTATTTTAAAAAATCACAGATGCATCTTTACTCCTACTTGGCATTTGACAGATGTTTAAAATATTTGTGAAATGGATAAATACAAGACTAAGGCTAAAAAATAAAGATTAGTATCATAAAACATAAATGAATTAAATTCTTTTAGCTTCATCTTCCATAGACAATTTTGATGAATCAAAAGATGCTATCTGCCCCACCATTAATGCTTTTAGGCTTTCCAAATGCTCTAGCTCACCAGTATCGTAATTGTTTTTGACTTGCACAATCCTTTTAGCACTTGGACATATAATTTCTGGTATTTTTCTTTAAATTTTAATATACTTTTATGCCACATTTTCCCCCAAGACTGTTAGCTAGGTTTTGTTTTATTTTGTTTTTAGGTGGTACTAGAGTTTGAATTCAGGGCCTAGGCAGGTGCTCTACCACTTGAGCCACTCTGCCAGCCTTTTTATTGTGTTGGATTTTTTTTTGAGTAGTGTCTCTGGAACTATTTGCCAGGTGGGGCTGGTTTCAAACTTCTATCCTCCTGATCTCTGCCTCTGGGGTAGCTAGGATTACAGGTGTAAGCCACCCACACCTAGCTTGTTAGCTAGTCTTGAGATTAGCTAGTTTAGAGCAGGCAAGCTACAGCACTTTGTTTGTGCCTATTATTGCCAATACACCTTCCCCTTTATGACTTACCTTCTACCCAAGTGTTAGACAATTTTAAGGTGAATTTAGTATGTACTTCTGACATTCTGTTTAAATCCAATGAGTTCTTGTGAGAATAGCATTTCTTAGTAAGTGAAAATTACCAACTGCATGTGTATGTGCACTTGTGCATGTGTGTGCATGTACATTTTGTAAGCTAGTCACTTGCTAATTCAACTTTTTCCTGAGTGTCTATGTGCTCAGATCAAAGAGGCTTCAGAAAAAAAGGAGAAATGGCTCTGTCTTTGTGAACTTACAGGAATTTAAGAGGCAAATAATATGAAATACTGTGTTTTAGAAGTTGGTAACTGTTTTAGGGAAATAAAAAGAAAAAGAGATGAGGCATAGTAATTTTAAGTAGGTAGCTGCATCACAAAGATAAGGTGTGAGCCTTGAGATTTATCAAAGAATACCACAGGCAGAGGGAAGTCAGTACAAATCTTCTAGGGTCAAATGCAGCAGGGAGCCTAGTGGGACTGTGTACCAGTGAGTGAATGTAGGTATAGTGATAAAGTGTGACAGGAATTGAGGCAGGTGTGCTCAGATCAGGTAGGCCTCATGAGACTTTTTACTCTGGAATGAAAACACACCTAGTCAAATATACTTTACCAAAAGTGAAAAATCAAACTGCATAGAAAGCCCATAGGTATTCTCCTACTGGTATTTTCTGAATCCTTTTGGTTCTTTTTGCGGTACTGGGGATTGAACCCAGATCCTCATGTATGCTAGGC